AGACAGAAAATTATTAGCTGCTGATTAATTAGCTGCCTTTGTAACGGATTTTACAAAGGCAGCAGCACGACTGTGTCTCATTTCTTTTCCTAGTTGGGAGGAGCAGCGCATTAACAATGCTCATGATGATACAGTAAAGAGAAAAAGGCCTCTCTTGTTATTTTTTTCTTGTCAGACCTCAGACATATTTCCAGGTTATTGATTCTTTTTATTTGAAAAATGTTGATCTAGTTTTCTCCTCCACGTTCTCCTCTTAAATATATGTGAGACGGTTGTCTTCAGTGAGGTGGTTTTTGAAAAGAAAAAAAAAAAAAAAATAGTTTAGTTCTTACCGAAATGTGTATTTCAAAGATAAAAATTATTTTGTTTATAAAAGGGATCAACTAAGATACTATGACTCATGTCCTTCTCTTTAGGTTGCCAGTCAGTTTCACAGACTTTGGTTCTCCTGTCTAATTTATAAACTTCATGTTGGTCATACGCTGCTGTTTTTCCAATTCAGACGGTCTTTATTTGGAATCTGACTGAATCTCTGCAGCTGCAACTTGCTATTTTCTATTTAAACTGTGCATCATTGTGAATTATGGGAATGAGTTGTGCAGACATCGCTAAAGTAACGGCCTTGTCTTCCCTGTTCAACACGATCGTCTGTCACTTATCCTCACTGCTCTTCTTCAGTCCGCTGCATCATTCAGTGAATCAGGAGCTTCCCTCCACCAAGCACTCCATCCGACTAAAGGGGATATTGAGTTTAGTGAGGATGAAGAGGGGGAGTATGAGGAAGAAGAGGANCATCCATCATCATCCATCCATCCATCATCCTTCCATTTATTCATCCATCCATCATCATCCATCCACCCATTCATCCATCCATTCATCCATCCATCCATCCATCCATCCATCCATCCATTCATTCATCCATCCATCATCATCCATCCTTCCACCATCCATCCTGAACTCATGTTTCTCTAAGCTATGGAAGAATGAGGAGAGTGTTGGTGGGGAAAAAATACAGATTTTCCAAAAATGAAATCATGACAAACAAAAAATCAGTTTAATCGATTTCAATAAGGTCAGCTGATCTACAGTAGAGAGCCAGACAGAAAATTATTAGCTGCTGATTAATTAGCTGCCTTTGTAACG